TTCAGAACTCAAATGTGAAAGGACTAGATTACAGCCTTTATCAGCAATTTTGAATTTCTTTTGTGCAGATTGTCACTTTGATTCTTTTTCTATATAATTAAACAGATAATGAGATAATCTGCTTGGTAGGCTAGCTAGTGGGTAGTTAAAATGGATTTAATGTGATTATCAAATCTAACCCATGTAAATAGAATTTTTGTCTTGTTCACCACATGGTGGCGATATTAACAAAGAAATTTAGTTCTGCTTGCTCAGAATAAGGGCAAACAGTAATACAAAATTGAACAAAAGGAATCTGACTTTGGCAGTGAAACATTGGCAGATTATAAAGTGGCAAAAGACTTAACAATTAAATCATAAAAGAAGGAAGGAAGGACTGAATTTGGGGGCAGAATCTGAGGCTACAAGGAAGAGACTGGAATCATGGAGAACTGCTTTTGGAAAAGGCAAGGTCTGTATGTCCTTCTCTCTTTCTCATTCCTTAGAGTAATGTGTGCTTCAATTCATTTGTCTGTCCCTGAAGAAAAGAAAAGGGGGTTTCTGGTGGCTAATGTGCTCAAGGAACTGAAACTGGAAACAGGGGAGCTCTTCACACGCAAAGCACATGTAGTTGCTGAGGGCACCCAGGAATACTTCCACCTTGATATTCATACTGGGAATCTGTTGATTAATGATAAAATAGACAGAGAAGCTTTATGTGGCCAGAGTGATCCTTGTCTACTTCTTTCTCAGTTGGTTTTGGAAAACCCCTTAGAGATCTTTAATATTGAAATCAAGATAGAAGATGTGAATGACAATGCACCCAAATTTTGGAAGAACGAAGTTAAGGTGGACATTCCTGAAAATATTCCAATAAGTATGATATTTCCCTTAGAATTAGCTCAGGATGACGACATAGGAGATAATAGCATCCAAAATTACATTCTCAGTTCCAATGAACATTTTCATCTTGAAGTACAAAAGAATGAAGAGGGAAAAGACAATATATACCTTGTTTTAAAGAAATCACTAGATAGGGAGAAGATGCCACACCTTGGATTGATTCTAATGGCTATTGATGGAGGAGTTCCAAAGAAAACCGGCACAGTTCAAATTAATATTAATGTTCTTGATAATAATGATAACTTTCCTTTCTTTAGTAAGTCTGAATATAAGGCAAGAATAAAGGAGAATCTCCCTAAGGGCACTTTTGTGATGAAAGTGGAAGCTACGGATATTGATATGGGTTCAAATGCACAGATCCTCTACTCATTCCATCAAGTGCCTGAACGAATAAACAATTTGTTTTATTTAAATGAAATTACTGGTGAAATAACTGTTTGGGGACAGATTGATTATGAAAAAGAGAAGAGTTATAACATGAACATCAGAGCAACAGATGGAGGGGGTCTTCCAGGTCAGTGCAAGATACTGATAGAGATTGAAGATGAGAATGACAACCCCCCAGAAGTGTCCATCATATCTCTGACCAGCACTTTAAAGGAGGATTCTCCCTTGGACACAATGGTGGCCCTCTTCAGTGTGAGAGACCAAGACTCTGGAGATAACAGCAAAACAATCTGCTCTGTGGAGATGAATCTTCCTTTTGTGCTCAAAGCCACCACAAACAACTTTTACCAGCTTGTGCTCCAAAGTCCGCTAGACAGAGAGACAGTCTCTGAGTACAACATCACCATCACAGCCAT